TCCCATATGGAACCCCTCATTCCCCTTCCTTGCTTTATTTTCCTCTATTGTACTTATTACCATCTGCGATATTGTTTTTCATGTCTTATTTATTGTGTCTTCCCCCATTAGAATGTAAGCCCCCTTAGGACAGGGGTTTCTGTCTCTTACTTCACTGAAGCATTCCCCAAATCCCAAAATACGGACTGATCAGTGATAACTTTTCAATGAATAAATGAAAGAAGCCAGGCAGGGAAATGACAATCAGAAAAAGAAAGCCACCAACGAAAACAAAGGAGCCAGTGACAGCTGCACCAAACTAGCTTTGCTAATGGATGATTAAGAGTCTAAGGCCTAATGGCTAATGACCAGGGAGCTGCAAGTTCAGTTGTGTTTTCCCAGCACTAAGCCGTATCTTACTCATCTTTATAACTCTCCTTCTTAGCACATAATAAGCACCAGTGATTGAATGGAAAGACTCACTTTACTAGAGCGGAGAGGACTTTGGGAGGAGTAGTAATAAACAAAGTTGGAGACCTGCTGGAGAACCGGGGTTGACCCTTAGAAAGGGGAAGGTGGTTTCTAAACTATGTTTGTCTCAACACAGAGAAAAGTCAAACACCTCATTCATTTTCAAAGAGCGTTGAGCTCCATTAAGTATTGATGCTATAGCTATCTTAAAACAGGTACCTTTTCACAGTTGTGGAGAAAGCCTCAAACCATAAATGTCACACCACATTTCCCAGTTGTCACCAACAAAGCATCACCAGTTGTGACTGCAGGGAGTGGGGAGTGTTGCTGTGTTAGAGCAAAACCACTTGAGAAGGAAGCAATGAGGCAAGGGCTTCACAGAAATCATTCCCTATTTTGTCCCCTCAGGTTCTGCTTTTAGCTAACTAAATCGTCCGACGCAGTAGAACAGTAGTGACAATAAGCACAGTGTCATTGATTTACAAGGACTGTGGGCCTATACTGAGTGCTTCAAAGCCATGTCATCACACGGGAGAAATTTAGTTGTAGTTCTCTTTCCTCTTCCTATCTTTAAGGTGAAAATGGTGGCTTTGGCCCTTTCTGTTCTTTAGCAAGGTATTTTCACTTTGCCATGGTTATATCGCGCAATGAATTGCCACAGGCCGTACTAATCCCCGCTGGTACTGACAGAGTAAACTCTGTGTATTTACTCCGTGTACTGTTCATATGCTACTGGATGTAAGCAGTTATTATCAAGTATTTATAAAAGTACCATCGCATTAAGAGCAACATATCAGACATTCTGAAAATGAGAAGCAAAGTAAGACGTAGTCTGCCCCCAAAAGGTTTACTGTCTGAGGAAGCCAACGCACAGCAAATGGAAAACTTAGCTATGCTGGCTTGCTGGGTGCCGGTCTTTATGAAGAAATGGAGTAAATGAAACCGCCTTGACGTGACGAGGATGTCATTCATACAGAGTGCCCTTCAGATTGAAATTAAATGCAGCAGCCTTGCAGTACAGAGCCAACAGGCCTTAGTTTTAGTACCACCTCTCCCAGTACGTCACAGTGACAGTCCTCCAGATCCCTTGGGCCGAGCCCCACCTTCTTAATCTTGAGAGTGGGAGGATTTTTTTGTTTGTTTGTTTATTTATTTATTTATTTTGGGCTGCGTTGGGTCTTCATTGCTGTGTGAGGGCTTTTCTCTAGTTGCGGTGAGCGAGGGCTACCCTTTGTTGTGGAGCACGGGGCTCTAGGTGCATGGGCTTCAGTAGTTGTGGCACATGGGCTCAATAGTTGTGGCTTGTGGGCTCTAGAGCTCAGGCTCAGTAGCTGTGGCACACGGGCTTAGCTGCTCCGTGGCATGTGGGATCTTCCCGGGCCAGGGCTCGAGCCTGGGTCCCTTGCATTAGCAGGTGGATTCTTAACCACTGTGCCACCAGGGAAGCCCCGAGAGTGGGAGTTTTTTCACCACTTTACACCTGACAAATGCCAATCTGAAAAATTCCCCCATTTCCATCTAAAACATGCCATGATTTAAGAGGTTCTGACCAAGAGAGATAGTTTAAAGTGATCATTAATGATTCTCTTCTTATCGCACACACGCACACTCACACTCTTCCTCTTTCCACAGTATTACAGGATTTATCCAAACCTGGCTTGAATCCCAGCACACCCAGTTATTCTTGTTCAGGCTCATTATTACATTAAAACATGCCCTACGGGTTCAGTATACTCCCAAACATGGTTTATCTCTATTTCTTGCTTTGCTTCCCTCATTTATCAGTATTTTGCTCAACTCACAGTCCATTCAAATGAGAAGACAAAGAAAAATGAAAGCTCCGTCTTTTTCCTTTATTTTACTAGTGTGTGTGTAGTAGACATCTCTTATAATACAGCAGATTCAGGTATCGCTCTGATCAAATAATCTTGCCTACAATAACCACAAGCAGTAAGACCTGAGGCCCAGAAGATTTTTAATCCTCTAACCCCACTCTCGCATGATAATCATTTTTTTTAAGTTATAATATAAGAAGCTGGTTTTATAACTATGCCTGGGGCATAGTTTCAGGAGTTCCTGGAGAGAGTGAGGGAGGCGCACTTTTCACTCAGTATCCTTTTTTATTTGCAGATCTGTCATGCGCTTGTGTAAGTTTCATTATAATAAAAATTAAAAAGCAATATTGGGCAACATTTATTGTGCATTTACTACGTGCCAGGTCTTTTATATGCATTACCTCATTTAATCCACCCACCAATCCTAACGCAATTTTTTTGTTTCTCCGTTTTATAGATGAAGAAACAGGGAGTTAAAAATCTATTCAAGGACATACATCTGTAGGCTCAACTGACATTTTATGAGAATCAAATTATATGATAGATATAAAAATGCTGTGAGAAAGCATACAAAGCTGAGACAGAGTATCCTATCAATAAAAGAAGGTGCTTATTGGGTCCCTTTTGGCCAGACTTGTCACAGTAAGTCATGCTGAAACTTAGGCCCAGCTCCAGTCTTGTAATCCCTAGGTTTCTACTTATTCAGTCTATAACTTCCATTTCTCAACCCTCCTATTAAAGAATTTGATTGGAATTGGAGGTTTTAGGTGTGGGGGAAGTGTTGGCGATGGATGGGCGGGACCTCATTTACCAACACTGCCCTCCCCTATTCCTGCCAATCAGTAGATCAGTGGTGTGTTATTTGTGACCTCTTTCCTTCTTACACCCACAGAAATGAGTGTGGGTCTTCAGGGCAAACAAACTATACTGTGGAAGTTTCCAGGTGTATAGACTGGGTCAACTGAGCCAGCCCTCGGGACTGAAATCAGAATTTTGAAAGCTAAGAGTCTGAAGCCAGCACATCAAGCATCTCTTTTCAACTACCTGACAGATGTAAATAAGCTTAGAAGAGTGACAGCGCTTATTTTAGCAACAGATAGAAGTATATAGCAAATGCTTTTTGTGCCTCTCGGGTTGTATTTTCATTTTGTTTAATTTTCATATCTAGCTGAGAAAAAAGTTAGGGGGAGTGGGTATGTTCATCTGTACTATAGATAGCCTACCTGATTTCCAGTGGCGAGGTGTCAAAATTCACAAGCTAGCCTGAACCTCAGAGGCACCAGTTGCTCATTTTGTGGTGGTCTCCAAATCCTGTCATTGGTTTTATTCTTAAAATGCCATAATCATTTCCAGGAAGCTCCCGCCTTGTGAACAGATTGGATGTTCAGGATGTATTTTTTCCTATCACTGTTTCTGCCACAAACATTTATCGAGGACTTACTTACTCCTCTAGGTGCTGGAGATAGAGGCAAGAACAAACAAAACAGGCAAATAATCCATATGTATAGTCTAATTTGAGGAGAGAGGCAGTCACAAAATAAATACGTAAATTGTATCGCATGTTAGAAGGTGATGAGTGCTATGAGAAAAATTAAGCAGAGAGTGCTTTGGGCGGGGAGTTGCAAGTTAAATAGAGCTCCTAAGGAAGGCTTCCCTGAGAAGGTGACATTTGGGCAGATGTAAGGAAATGAGGGAATGAGCTATGTGGAGATCTGGAGGACAATTGCTCCAAGCTGAGGGAACAGTAAGTGCAAAGACCCTGAGGCAAGAGTGTGTCAGGCATGAGAGGAGAGGGCAAAGAGGCCAGTGTGGTTGGAACCGAGCAAAAGGCACTGGCATAGCAGCTGATTTGCTCAGAAAAGTAACAGGAGCCAGACCCTGCAGGGCTTTGCAAACCATCGTAGTGACTTTGGCTTTGACTCTGTGTGGGATGACGGGCCACTTAAAGGCTTCAAACGGAAGAGTGATATGCATCTGATTTCAGTTTCTTTTTGAAATAATATTAATCGTGGAGCAGGTTGCCAGAATGAGCCGGCAAAGCCGGATAAACACATATTGCCATTGAGCTAAGGTGCTAAGCAGACTCCAGGGAGCTGAGCTCAGAGAACTGGGTTCAGATCCCGGAGGTGAGGGTTCGACTCATAGCTCAGTTGGGTGACTCTGGGCATGTCGGTTAACATCTCTGAGCCCCATTTTCCTCATCGGAGAAATACGGATGAACAATACCTGGCCCATGGTTTTATTCTGAGGATCAAGTGAACACGGAACATAGAAGAACTTGTAGATTATAAAACATTATATAAAGGTCAGGAGGGGGTGGTGAGAGCAACAGCGGTTCTGGTTGTGTCGTTATCATTTCAGGGAAAATGAAGTCCAGGACCTAAGCCAAAATGCCAGGAATGCAACCTTCCCTTTCCCGTTACTTCTTATTAAATAGCCATGGAAGAGGGGCCCTTCCTCCTCCAGCATTGGAGATCAAGGAGAGAGACAAGGACCCAGCTGATCTCAACAGAAGGCGCCAGTTGGGCTCCCAGTGGATCAGTCATAACTTACAAGGTGTTTGCGGACTGGGGCCTCCCGGCTTGGTGCGTCTGCTACCGAGGGGTGTCCTAGTGAAGAATTGTGTCTCCTCTCCCCGGTTCAGGCCCCAGGGCACGGGGCTGTCCGCAGATGGGCAACTTCTCCAAATAACCACACCCCTCTCCTTCCCACCAGGCATTCCTCCTACGGAAGGCTCTTGGATGACCACGACTACGGGTCCTGGGGAAACTACAACAATCCTCTGTACGACGACTCCTAACAAAGGAAGGTGGCCTGGGATGAGGAATAACTGTCTTTATTTATCAGTGCTTATCCAGTAGAGTTAATAACAAGTACCTGATGTGCATTGAGCGACAATCCTAAGCCCTGTTTTGTTGGTTTGGTTGTTTTGTTTTCCTCCCTCTCCTCTGGCTGCTACAACTTCCCCTTTCTGGTAACAAAAAAAAAAAAAAAAAGGAAGAAGAAAGAAAATTATTTAAAAGTGAGTGGAGTCTGACATGCAGCTGACATGGGCCAACCCTAAGCCGTCCAGGCCGGACGCCATGGTGGAGGTGTCTGTACCCAGCGCAGGTCCCACTGCAAGAAGAAACGAACAGGGATCAAGTTGTGTCGTTACTAAAAGGGTTACTTTTAGGGGAACTTTCAGTGTGTGGTATTTCTTAAACTTTTCTTTAGGAGATTACATTAAGTCTCAATGAGGGGAAAGGCAATGAGTGCTGGGAGGAGTTTGCCCCGCAGGTAAGGAAGCAGGGGTTTCTCAGATTCCTTTTTAATCTCAGTTTATCTGGTCGTGTCCCACAGGACACCTGCTCGGCTCTGCTAGCTGGATGCCAGTTTCTTAGCTGCCTAATTAAGGAAAGAGGAAGCTAGAAGGTGCCCTGGGGGAGGCCAGCTGGCCGAGGGGCAGAGTAGCAGGCTGCTGTCAGATCTCAGCCTGCCTGCTACCTGGCCTCCCCTCCAGGACATCTGTCTCTGCTGAGGATGCCCGTTCTAGTCAACCGCAGCTGGGACCCCAGCCCACAAGCTTTCAGCGGTTCCACAGGAGAAGGCTGTGAGATGAGTTTAGCTGTAGGAAAGAAAGGGAGAGACGTGTGCAATGGGGGCGTTGAGGAGGGTGGGAGGGAAGGGGCGTGTAACATACACCGCGTACCTCATTAGGGAAGGTAAGAGCAGCCCTCAGTAACTGTCAGAGACAGCCACTGCCTGAAGGAGCCTGTGGACTCCTTGCTTTCTACCCACAAAGCAACTGGTTCACTGCCTTACTGTCTGTTCGATAAAGGCTGTAAACTGGTTGTTCTTGTTGTTGTTCTTGTTGCTGTTAATTTTTTAAAGGCACTAGTTTGTCTGCAGTTGCTCAGTGAGGCTTTTCCATACAGACACGGTGATTAACCCGTTTATTTTTCCCAAATGTTTACCTTACTAATTCTGCTCTTTGATAAACGGACACCCCTGGGTACGTAGTTTTAAAATCCTGCATCACGAATTTTGAGAAAGAGCTGATCATCTTTGTGGGCATCTGTTTCCAGCACTGCTTCTCAGCAGCAGGTAATTTTGCTTCCCCTCCCCCAGCCAGGGAACATTTGAAAATGCCTGGTGATATTTTCTGAGTGTCACAATCTGGGGGTGCTACCACTGGGTAGAGGCCATGGAGGCACTAAACATCCCACGATGTACAGAATAGCCTACCCCAACTAAGAGTTATCTGGCCCCAAAGGTCAATAGTGCCGAGTATGAGAAACCCTAATTTATTGTGATGCTCACTGTGACAAAACAAGACGCCCCAGGTTACGGATAGTTTTTACTTTTACCTAAATGAAATGATTCGTTCAATTTTTATCTCAAAAGTATTTAGTGTTGGCGGATGGGTTGTTTTTGCTATGCATGGTTGCCTTTTTATTTCTGTGTGTTTTCTAGATAGCTTTATTTCATGGCTCTAACCCTGTCCTCCTGAAACACCTGTGTATTAGCAGCTGGCATTTTATGTCCTGATTTCATAGCGTAGAAAATATACATTGGGTTCTGTTTCAGAATGTGTCATACTGTCCTATGCTATCATAAAGAACTTGAAACGGCATCGTATTTTATTTCTAAACTTGGACCTGCTGCCATGACTCTGTTTAGTTTCCAGAAACTTGACCCTCAACTCCTCCTGTCACTCACTGTGGCCCAGCAAAAGTACTGACATGAAAACAGCCGCTACCGTGCTGGGCTAAACTCCTCTGGTGGCGGAGACATTAGGGCCGGTGACACTTTCCACGATGTGCCAATCTCCCGCTCTGAAAGAAATTGGACAAAGAAAGTGGACATTCTCAGAAAAATGGCCAGGAATGACCAAGGGTACCCCTCTGACCATGGTTGGCCTGAGTAATTATCCCTCTTTCCTACCCTCACCCCCTTTATAGGCTTTCGGTTCGGCAAAGGACAATTCAATAACGACAGGACATTCCATATGTTTTTTTCTTCCCTCGGCCACAGATGTGTTGACAAAACGTCCATGAAGCACCTTTGGAGAGGTGGTCTTCTAGGTGTTGCTTCAGTCATAAGTACTGGGTGAGAGGGACCAGCCTCTTCCCCGGGAATCCTGACTCAGCTAGCATCTTTCCCT